CACACACACACACACACACACACACACACACACACACACACACACACACACACTGAGTCGCATCTCTCCTTCTCCCGCTCACTCCCACTCTCCTTCAGCGTCCCTCTCTTTCAGCCAAACCAACATCTTTCTGAATTTATGGTCGTGCTCAGAGCGCACTAATGGACAGATGGGTGATTACAATTCCATTGCAATGGAAATGATAAAGTTAGGAACGTCGAAAGTAAAAGTGACTTTAAAAATCTGTCTCCTTATTTCGCGCCATGAGGCCTACTTCTAGCGGGTTTAGCTTTACCATAAAATCAGTTAAACGTTCTTTGCCCTGTTAATATTTACGGAAGACTTCAGTTCTTTGAGCCAACCATTCCTGATTCTGTAGGTACCTAGTTCATCCATACAAGGTAATAAAAAGAAATAACTAAATAAACAACACCAAAAACAAAACAAAACAAAACAAAACAAAACTGACCCCCCCCCCCCCCCCAAAAAAAAAAACCACAACAAAAAACAACAACCAAAAAACCGAAGAGCACGACCTAGACTCTCCGAGTCTCTCCGAGTTTATTAGAACGTTTAGCACTCTGTTATAATACGTTCTGAGGAAGAAAGAGAAAAGACATGGTGAGTGTAACAGGGAATATCTTTCACCCATACTTCTGCATCATTAATAGTTGTAAAGCATGCTGTAGGGACAGGAAATGCGCTATATAAAATGTAATGGTAATAATAATAATTATTATTATTACTATTATTATTACTATTATTATTACCATTATTATTATTACTATTATTATTACCATTATTATTATTACCATTATTATTACTATTATTATTATTATTATTCATATGTTTTTGTGTTTTACTTGTAAGACGTGATGAAATCCCTATTATGTAAGCGCGATGGACGTGCTTTTTCTTGGGTGAGGGAAGGGGTTGTAAGAGAATTCTGTAGTTAAAACGAAGCCTAGCAATTTTGGAACGTTTACAAATTTAAAAAATGGATGCGTTCTTCGCTGTGACCCTTGATATATAGGTTGATTCTGTAGATTGTCGATGAAAAAGGTAGAAAAATACATTCCTAACTCATGGTCATGTTCATGTGTGCCTATGTAATTTGTACAGAAATATTATATAAATTATTATATAA